ACGAAGACAATGTTGAACATATGTATGAAAAATGAACTGTCTGCTTTCACTCCCCAAATCCACGTAGGCTTCTTGATCGGCCAGCTGCCTATGACTTAATGAACTTTCGTCTCTTACTTAGTAAGCCATGCAAAAGTTAGGGTGCCTCCGAATGCGGAACAAGCGGCAGAAAGCTCTGCCTCGAGAAACGGTGGCTTCTTTGATTTGGCCTGCCGAGTAGCTAAGTTCAGGGTTCTTAGATTAGCAAACGTATGCTAATGTTATTAGCAATGAACTCAGAAGAGCAGTAGGCTGTTTAGATGGTTATATATGTGCACGGTAAATCTACTTATATTGTGCCCTGAAAAAGTGCCACAGCGTAGTACAGCCTTATGTTTGTTTTTCAGTGAGTTAAAGCACCTACTAACACATGTCAATAAGACCATAGCCATAGAATCCACGAAATGAATGCCCCTTTAATCAAATTTCAGTATTTTGGCGTTATCGACAAAAAGAAAATTATTTCCTTTCATTTTCTAAAAATCAGATAATATAAGCATGAAAATTCACTCTGCTCATTATAACAACGTATTGTTGGTTCTGTAGGCGAGCAAGGAGAATTGCAACCGTAAGCCGCCAGCATCAGACGGCCTGGCCTACCTCTCGCACTAGTTGGTAGGACCTCACTACAACACCATGCTGTAGGTGGAGTTCGGGAGTTAATGACTTGCTACGCTCGTCTCGGCTGGTTGCACCGAATCATTGGAGCGAAGTTTATTGTCATGGGAATTAGCAGGTCAGGGAACTTATTAGAGCTTTGCACCGGGTCCTTTGAAGTTCAGAGCAAACATTCTAATCCATGCACCTCCTCCAAGATTATCTGCTATGAGCGCTGCAAGGGTAACAACTTGCCTTCACTTCCAAGAGTAGGTGGTTAGCACGTGTTCTATTGGCGGATGAGAGAATAGGAAACAGAACAGTCTTTATTGCGTGACAGGTTTAAAACGGTCATTAAAACACAATTTTTCCACTGGTGGTAACGAATTAGCCGCATGTATGTTAAAAACGCATTAAGAAGGCTCATCTCACGGTTGTCAGTGATTAATGCTGATGTACAATAGACTGGTAAATGTCAATGGGAATGGTACTCCCGTGAATATCAAACGGACTTGCCGCTGGCTGGTGGCGCAATACGTAAAATCATCCATTTGGCGATTGGAATAATTTAAAGATGGATAATTCGTATCGGCGACAGGATGATGTGGGAAAGGAAAAAAGGAAGAAAAATGAGGAAAGGGAAAGGAACAAGAGGGAACGTAGAAGATGGAAATGCAGATGAAAAAGCTGAAGATGAAGAAGGTGCAGCAGATGCGGTCATGAGAATCACTTCCTTGACGGTAGACGTTTGAGCGCCCTTCACCTCTGGATCACTTCCGGTGATCGTTTCGTTTGAACCATTTTGGAGGGCATTTCAGTAGATTCAGCAGGTTCTGAACGGGTACAGTAACATGCATTTAAAAGTTTGAAATTTCACTGCTTAAATAGAATCAGGAAAGGTCAAGAGTTTTCATGCAATGAGTAAAATAGCATAACAAATAAAACCAGATGACTAAATTCAAATAAAGTATCCAATTTCGAACGTGACACGGCAGAATTATCATAGTCAAGGTGGGTCACAGTATATCAGTGGCAAAGTTATTACAGTGTACATGACACTTCAGTTCAATTCACTTGGACAGTCATGAAAGGGCACGAAATGTTTCATTCGTGTATAAACCAAAAAGAAGCAATTGCATTGGATCATCAAACAAACGAAAGTATGAATGATGATTAGGCAATATGTTAGGAAATCATTATTGACAAATGCCATTTACTCCAAACGTCACAGTCCTCTTTGGTCGGATCGATGAGACGTCTTACCATTGATGGCAGACTTGACTTTCCACATGCCTCGGTTCGACCTTGTCGCACGGTAATCTTTGATAGGCATTTTCCGAGGTAGGTGCATGGAGGAAAGGTTGGTCATCTGGGATCAAATTTTAGGCGACTCATCATCTTTAGAAAAATTAAGAATTGATTGCATTGGCCAAGCATTTACACATCCCAATAGTTTCAGTGGGTTCCCAATGCATCACACATGCTTCTTGGGGAGACTGCAGAAGTTCACAATGGGTGATAGATGATGACGGATATAATACAGGCACTCATGAAAATTTTCAGTACCTTTTGGTCAGCGCAGATACCTTTCAGCCAGCAGAGGATTGAGATTGTTTGTCTCAGTTAGCCAATCATGACATTTACCTGACGTTCCCAACTGAGGCTCTGGTGCACAACAAGACCGAGGTATTTTACTGCAGTATACTTCAATGTTGGCAAACTGAGGAGTTGATAAAGAGTTTCCTAAAATCTCCAATTGTAAACCTTCAACGGTGATTATTCAATTCACCGATTATATTGGATTCAGCGTTAGACCATTCTCACGTATCGAACCACTGATTTTTTTTCACCGAAGATAAATGGGGACTTGACAGGGACAAGAAAGGCAGTGTCTTCGACTTACGTTGCAAAACTGGCCATGGTGTTGAAGGTACCGCATGATAACTGTTTAAAGAATGAACAGAGCTGGTGATAAGCATGATCTCCGCGTTTCCCCGCGTGTCGTTAAGCGTATCGCTGATTTCGTGGTGTCAACGCCAACAAATTGTCGGGGCTGCAGTGAGCAGATAGGAGGCTGTAATTTGATAAGAATGTTAGGCTCTGATTTGATATCGCTTAAGATTCGAATCAGCACCACGGTGTTATGGGCAGAGTTACAATCAGCAAGGCATTCTGTTCAAGTTTCTTCACTTCTCGGTAGCGTTCAAATATAAAGTTAATAGGGAAAGAAAATTGAAACAAGAAATAAATGGTAAATAAAATAAACATAAGTTGTAATGTAACGAAGGCAGAAGAAAACAAAGTATAACAGTTATTTCAGTCAGTGGATTTGAGGATTTTTCATGATCTGCGTGCCAGGACTAGCAAGACAAATCTGCTTTGCAGCTGGAGCGTGTCGAGATATGGCAGAAAGTCAGCGCGATCAGCATCCTTATGGATGTCCTTGCTGAAGCCAGCAGCTGCTACTGAAGATATTATTGGCTTGCAGATGTCGCCAGGATAGGACCAGTCTTGCTGGCGTCCAGATTGCCCAAGAAATCAGCATTTTTAAGGCTGAGTTGCTGGCATTCACACTTTGTTTGATGATGATGCCATCTTGACAGGGATTGCTGAGCCGGTAGAGCTTGGGACTCAGCACGAAGAGATCCTGATCTGGAGCCCGGTCTTGTCACTTCTCTCTTCCCTCTGAGGTTTGTGAATGAGTATCACTTTGCAGGAAGGAAGCGAGATCACACACTATACATGCGAAATAGTTTCTGTCAGCTCTGCTTTTAAAAATGAAGACACCAATGGCGGATGGTATTAACATGGAGATCAGCGCCACGATAAACCTCATGATAAGAATGGCGCCAGTAGGATCCCAACATGAAAGTGTCAGGAAAGCCGATGTTCCAATGGTTGCAGGCTTACTTTATCCTGAAACAGGGATCACACACCTGGTAAATACAACGGGAATGCGGACGACGATCGAATTTAAGATGTCATGAGAATCCTTTGTAAACAAAACCATCACGGTGACTCAACGGCAGGACGAAAGACACCAAATCCATGTGCCATGATTGTTGATCCGCTGCGTTTCTCTCCGACAGATACCGTTAAACTGGCTATATCTTTAAATCGGACCAAGCCCTTTGCGGCTGTTGGCTTGAAAGATCTTCGAAGTATGCATCGGATTGCTCTTGTTGTGACAGCAGTCAGTAACCGAGCCTCAGTGCTATTTGTTTTGATCGACTTACTTCACAATTCTTGCTTAAACTGTGGAGCTGAAACGACTCTGCAGTGTGTCTTAAGTTGGTTTTCTTTTGTTGTTTGTCGAATGGCCAGTCCTCAACGAAGAAGAACATACGTGTTTGCTTTTTCTCCTAGCCAGCAATTTCCCACCCCTTCTTTGGCCAAGGTACGTTTTATTCTCTAACCTGAATTTTTTCATTTGTTATAGATTTTTATGAGGTAGGTTTTAATAACATACTGCATAAGTTGCATAAAAACAGTTTATATGTACATAGTGCAAACGAGTAAGTTAGTCGATCGGTTGATTGATCAGTACCAAAGTTTCGGCTCGTTTCTACGAGCCTTCTTGAGGGTGGTCTCATGAAAGACGAGCAGAAATGTCGGTACAAATCAATCACCCGATTGGCGAACTTAAATAAACCGTTTTTATCCATTTCTCAGTTTTCGGTATGAACATCAACGCATGAACAAATTTTTGA